TAGAATTAATTTCACAAACAAACCTAACTTTTCCAAAATAAAACCTAATAATTACTCAAGGAATCAGACATATTAGCTTTTGTACACATACTCTGCACAAAACGAAGAAACTTGCAGATTTTCGGTTTATACAAATATTGGTTTTACGTAACTTTCACAAAAAAATAACTAGAAAGTTTGTTACCATTTGTACAGAATATCTGTACAAAGCTCGACATAGTTGTCTCTCTGAAGACTAAATAAGGGAATTTTGCTTTTTTCATGTACAATATAATTCTAGTGTGAGGTCTGCTTATTTCGATCTAATCGGAACATGAAAAGTATAGAATGAAAAAAGAAACTATTTTTTTTTACTAAAGTAATATCATCTTTGAGACCTTTTTTAAAAAATTTGACGAATAAATATGAATATATAATACACATCTTGGTATCATCTGCACATATCAAAGTTGATGTGAATGAATACTTTATCATGGTCAGCATTAATGCATCGAATTTTCAATTACATTTCTGATCAATTGAAAACTTATCTCCAGATTCAGTCGTTTGAAGAAAAATCCACATTGCCTCCGAGAATACTTGATATAACTTTACTTGTGCTTCGGAGTCTACGAGGTTTTTCATTTCAAACTGAACTTTGCTGAAAAAAATAACGTCTGCTGGACAAAAAAAAGGATAGATTTTATTTAAAAAAAACATTTTGAATATGAAAGGATAAACCATGAAAAATACAATGATCATCTTGTTTAAGAATAGTATTTTATTTTTCAGCTTTTCATATAGTAAAAAAAATTGTTTTAATGATGTTTATCTTTGTGATATTTATGATGTCATAATCCATTAACCTCTTTTAAGTACTTAAAGAATACTCTGAATTGTTGCAATTGGCTGCTGCTGATTCATTGACGATGATTACACAAGTAAATAGGAAAAGTTTACATTATAAAGTAATTTGACCAATTTAATAATCTAAAACCGTATGAAAAAACTTATTTCTCACTGTCGCATTGCTTTCTCAACCTTCTGTCTGAATATTTCTAAAACAAAATTCTGAGACATTCTTAATCTTTTGTATAGCCAAGTATTCTTGAATCTGAAATAAAATCATTGAAATGATTTCGCTATAATAATGATGTAAGAATTGTCTCTACTAGTTTATCATCAATTGTGTGTCAAATATGAATAATTTCATTTACAACAGCTATTTCCTATAAAAAACAGTTCTTATTAAAATTTTATTCTACAATTACTTACTTATTGATAGGTCATTTTTAATAGCGATACTAAATGTAAAAGACAGAAAACCATGCAACGTGGCTAAATACTACACGTTTATTTCTCCCTTTCTTCGAGGTAATGTTTTCTTGGATACGAATAGAACGATCGATCCTGTGAATCTATCATTCGTTCACAGAATTGTAGCCAATTTACATATGTTCTAAGAAGAAAAGTCAACAATTTTCTTTAAAAAATTTCTTTGTTTAGAAGCTGTATACTAGGATATAATCTATGTAATAAATCATATGGTAGATGTCTACATGCAAGTCTATCGCCAAAAAATGATGAATTAGATTTATGTGTACAGAAAAAAACCATTGTAGATATATCCAATTGCCAATGTGACCGACGGTATGAAATAAAAAGAGTGAAAGCATCTTTCTTATGTTAACGAAAAACTACCTGGCGTTCTTTTCTAAAAATTCTGATCATAAATCATGTATAGGTAAGAATAATCAAACATGTAATATCATGTCAAACTCTCGTGCAATCTTTAACCTTAATGAACATGATTCAGTCTTTGCGATAAGTTTCGTAGCTATGTATTGTATTTCTTCAAGTAATAGATTTTTGTTGATTATTGATAAATTTTAAATCGGAAAATACCTCATTCATCACAGACCATTTTAGTTATACTAATCTTTCGTGTTACTATACTCAATTTCATAATATATCATAAATATAAGATAATGCATCAAAAAATGATTATTATGTATATATTTGCATATCAGATTGATGTAGAATAGATTGTGACAATCGAAATTACTCTTTCGTATTATTTAAAACTTTCATAAAGTAAAACATATCGATTTCATATGTTTCAGATGGTAGATTGGAACAGTGTCATTGAAAAAACAATTAAATAATGTCTGATTTTTATCGTAGTAGATCGTTTACACATATTAATACGTATATTTCAATAAATATAAAAATGTTTATTCTTAAGAATAAATATGATTTTCTAACGATAAAGAATTTTTTACATGTGTTTTAAAGTATCTGGAAAACTGTCACAGAATGAGTGCATTCTTTCATAAGCATTAGTCGACATCGATAATGGACTGACATTTAATAACTGCAAATTAGGAAGAAAATTAAGCTTATCTGGAAGTTGTTGCCAAGTAATTGAGACTGCAAAAATTTCTCTAGATAGACAACAACTATTGAAATGACTTTTTTCTTTAACTTCATTGAATTTTTTCAAGAAATCGATCTGATTGGTAAATATTAATTATAATATCAATATGCTCAGATTCAACTAGATACAAATTATTTTGATCAGATAATTTCACTATTGCATATGAAAATTATTTTTCTTAAATAATTTTATTTAGTTCAAATTTTCCAAAAGAATTCTTCTGTTCTTCATTAATAAATAAAAAAGAACAATATCTTTATTATATTTCTTTAAAATGAATGATGTACTTAGATTTATTCTACTAAAACAGCCAAACTAAACTAAGTAATGTAACAACACCAAATGCCATGAGATGCCTAATTCGAGTTCGAATATAAATGGAGAGCTAAGAGCTTATAAAACCTTCGAAAATAAATGAAAAAAGACGGCCTCCCTGTTGAAATAGCAAAAAAGCAAAAGATAAATTTTATCCTAATTATAAAATTATAATTCGAATTGAGACAGTCATATAAGTCTGGCAAAAAAGCAAAGAGTACATATTCATTGATGTATCGAAGATAATGTAAACAATGTCTTGAACGAATAGACAACGAAGTCTTTGATAATCTTTCTTTCTCACTGATCGAATTGGATTTTGTTTTTTTGTGTGGTATAATCTAACATGATGAGTATTTTTGACAACAAACATGTACATAGAATGATCATTAACAACAGACAAAAAATACATTAATAACTAGCAAAGAATAAGAAATAAAGACAAGATAAAATTGTAACAAATCAAAATAACAAAAAAAAATACGAAGCATCGAATTATTGAATATTAACTTTGATAAGAATATGTAAATAGAAACAACACAGAAAAAAATACGTGCACTAATAGGAAAATAAGCGAAATGTTTTGAACTATTCAAACATGGAAGAACATTTTGAGATTTTATGCTCACTTTTAATGGACCTCATAAAACATATGCATCAGAACATGATCTCTTTCGGGCTACAAGATCAGCAATAAATATTTCTATAATTTCTTCAAAGCAATCGATGAAAAGATACTTCTAGTTCTCTGAAATAAAAAGAAAAATACAAAGATCTCAAAATATTAGTCAGTCTCATTGAAAAATTAAATCGAATCAAAAATTTGCTAGAAAATTCTTGTTATTTTATACAATTTCGCTAGATTATGGTTGAAGTTCTAAGACTTTGATTGAGTACCATGGATTTATGAGTTGATGATTATCGAAAATGTGGTTCAGGGTTCGTTATTAAGTTGTTATTTTTCATTTTTTCGATTATAAAATCTGGTAATGGATAACAATGGCAAATCGATCATCATTGAAAGTGTGTGATTATAACTGATTAACAGAATTTCAGTACTCGATTATAGTTGTTGTCTTTAATTGATTGTTTTTGGCAATATGCATACGATTACAATCGATAACAACTTTGACCCAATCTTTTAGCTTTTATAACAATGAAAAAGAAGTATTTCTGATTTTTCTTATTTGGCAGTGATCTACAGATAAATAAGAATATTGAAACTACTCAAAAATTATTACGAAACACTTCTAATCATGAAATCAACCAAATTCAGTCGAAATCATTCAAAGTCAAAAGTCCACAGAAAATTGCTCAAAATTTTCCAAATCCTTCGAATGCTTCGCAATACTTCTCATTGATTTCTGGTGTACTTCATGATCTTATGTGATTGATACCGATTTTTCGAGGAATTTAAAACACCTTCTTTCTCCTCGCATTATAATCATATTAAATAAAAAATTGACATTCAAAAAGATTTTATTTCTATTCTTTTTGGTTGCAGTTGATTTCAATAGAAAATAAACATATTTGTATTGATTTCTTCTCTTATTTGTTTTGCATATGTCAAACACGATGAAATAATTACCAGTTAATGTCTACTTTACCTAACGCTCTTAAAATTTTAAGTAAAGACTAACGATATTCCGAAACTGAGACCACCGTACAGCGAGGCTGATCCTGACACAGTATTTGTTATCGGTTCCAGAATTCGTATCAGGGCTCGAAACGATACAATTCGATCAGTTAGCCCTGGTCGTGATCAATCGACGTATCGTTAGTCAGGAACCGTGTTGGAAAACTACAACTGTATCTGAACATTATTTACAGGTGCAGAACTTGATAGAAATCAAGTCTGAAACCCATGTAGGGATCAATTTCGGATCTGGTTGTTTCCTGCCATACCACCATCATCTGGAATCTGATCTCAATCGTCATGAATGCCTATTGACAAATTATTATGCCCTTTCACCTATGATCAACAAATCAAATAAATCTCTACCACAATCAGGCTTCGGCATTTGTGTTGTTATAGTAGTGATAGTTCTGGCTGTATTGAAGAGCAAATATGTTAGGATGACAATCCTTGTGTGTGTAAAAAGCCTATCTTTTGAAAGACACAATATTTATCAATTAAAAAAAAACAATTTTTCTTCTGAAAATGCAGAATGTGGGTATATTCGTCAGCTGACGCTTGATAATATAAAAAGTAAAGAACCTCGAAAGTATTCACTTGCTTTGATTTCATCATTTATTTCTATCGCTAAGAATGACTCTGGCCAGCTTTATTCTTATTTTGTGCATCGCAGCAGCATCTACACTAGTTTCTGGCTCGTCGTATGAACGAACTCCGCGTATGTGTATGATCTACTGTCAATACGGTTTTCAACGTGACTCCAATGGACATTTGATGTGCAAATGCAAGACAAGTCCATGTGACCAAGACGAAGTTCCACTGGAAGGCTACTTTTGTGGACGTAGTCCCAATCGTCGTGAATGCCCATCAACACATCAATGTACCATTGCACCGAACGATGCTTATGCTGTGTGTTGTCCTCGTACTCAACAACCACCCGAACGCAATCCAAACAAGGCAGGCTTTTGTCCACCATCATTAGGCCCAAGCCGCATTTGTATTTCTCTATGCGCTGATGATAGTGAGTGTGAAGGCGAATTAAAATGCTGTGGAGGATGTCGTCGTCAATGTACAAAGCCTGTCTTTGTAGAATGAATGAGTGAAATAATTCAGTGCCATTATAATTATTGCGCACAGAGCTATCAGAAAAAATAAATATTGGGCATAAATTATCATCAACACCAAACCAGATTTGTGCTGTGTATTGAACTGGGGGTTTGCACTAAGAGAAAATCATTACCTGCACTAGGAATGTGCAATTTCAGTTAACTGATCACTGACATTGACGCTCAGTAATTACCGATGACTTCGGTGTAAATGTGTGTGTTATTCTTCTGTGCAGTGACATCCACACCCTTTTATTAATACTATATTTACCATTAACTAATATTACTTGAAATATGATCTTGAAGATTACTGAAATTTCTTAATGTTTGTCACATGTTTCGCTATCAAAGTCTATCTAGATTTTCATCATCAATTTTTCGTGCTCGGCTTTGGTCAACGAAATTTATTCTCTGTATATATAATACACGCATTATATTTCATCGTATAAAACACTACTGAAGATGCCTGATTATTTATAAAATAGTAGTATATGAACAGGAACGACAACGATCTATGTAATCACATGGTTTCTTCAAAGAAGATTTACCATACATTATCTATATTTTGAATGTATTTTTATGTAGAATTAGCATGGATATTAATTAATATATAGTACTATTCTTTATTGACGAACATGTGTCACGTTTTGACTTACAGATAGAAATCAATTACATTCTAGCATAATTTGTATAGGGACATAAGTATATTCGTGTCAATCCAATACTCCATTCAAAAGTATATGATTTTTCTGATCTTCAATATCTTACCATTGACAATACGCCTCAGAATATGATAAAATAAATCATGCTTGTCAATGAATACAATCAATATATTTAGATTATTTTTGGTTACTGGTAACATGATACATATATAGCTTATTCTATTCGATTCTATATTGGATTATATTAAAAATCAATCATGTGTTTCTTCACATCATCACACTATATACCACCAGTGAAACTTCGATTTCTCAGTGAAAAAATACACTTGTCCATTTCTGACTATTCTCCGTTGTTATTATTGTTGGTGACACGTGTACCATTCGCTTTTCATAACATTGAAATGTTTACTTTCATTTTTTTCAATATTTTATTTCAAATAAAATTGTTTAAATTTATTCAAGGTCTGTTATATTTTGGTCTCACTTTACGCATAGTTTCCCTAAAGGACAGGTTGTCGACGAATCAAGCGAATGAAATCGTTTCGAAATCTCTTCGAGCAAACTGAATAAACTAAAATGAAAAAAGAATCATGGAAAATGAAACTTGAATTGAAAGTTGGCAACTAGATTCTACCGTAGAATTGAGCCACGCAATAAATATAGTTCAGTATTGGACTAACTATATATCCGACAAGTGCTTCAACAGCTAATCGAATTTCACTCTTTTGCTGTGCAATAGGTGTTGTGATAAAACCATAAAGTGTATTAACAGGATAAAGAACTGTAGTAACTAAATAGACCAATACCTCACCAGCTAACATTTTTATCAAATCACGATCAGCTTTGTGCAAACGAAATCGAGTAGGATCATTAGTAGGTGCAACTCGTGATCGGATTTGCTTCAAATGATGCCAGGTTAATACACCAAATGAAATCATAAAAGCTGGTGGAAGAATTCCAATAAAAATAAATAAATAGATAGAAAATGCAAAAGCATAATAAGAAGGTGCACCACAGTGACCAGAATAATTATTGATGAAAATAGCCATATGAACTGGGATGATTGGCCAAATCAATATAAGACCGATGATAACGTTACGAGCAATCTTTGGTTGACAAAATAATCGAATTCTAGCAGATGAAGAAGTCGCAGCCCATCGATCAATACATGCAGCTATCACTAAAAAATAAAAATAAAAACATTCTTTGTGTACTCGTATTTGGATAAAATTTACTGAAACTTCGTGAAAGCATTAATAATATTTGTCCACCATACCATCTTAATTTGCATACAATAATTGATGTATGCTGCGGATCAACATGATCAACACCATAAACTGTCGAGATAAGTGAGGTATTAACCAAAATCCAATTTGTAATTGAAGCAGCTAACAAATAAATTGTACATGAATTCAGTTGCTTTCTTAATGTTCGTATAAATATAAGGATCGTTAAAATATTGCCCACATTACCGAGCACAATTAATGTTGACAAACCATAACGTCCTAGATTTAGTCTTGCGTTAACTATAGTTGAAGCTAACATTCTAAAAAGCTTAGTTAAAATATTAGACAAACAAAATCTTTATTCACTTTTGCTTGAATAATTCTGACAAGAAAATAAAAATATCTATAAGTATCATAATGGAGCATGTATTACTAAGAAATAATAATGTATATCACATACATATGAGTCACATAAAAAAAAGGAATATTTAATAGGGAAGTGAACGACCTGTTGTGACTATTAGGACTGGAGCAACAGAAAAGAAAGTTTATTAAGATCGGGATCAGAACTACAACAGATTTACCGAGTACGCCTTGGATCGAAACCAAACAAAAACTTGTCATCACATATATCAACTACTGAACACTATTGTTAAAACATATGTTTCATACTATATTTAAAATACTTCTATCGTGTAACTAAATACAACTTATCTAAAAATGTTCTTAATCGTTTGTAAAAATAAACAGTAACCAGATCATTATAAATCTATTGATTAAATGACTCTATTCTATACATTTTATTTTGCAGCTAGGGTCATTTCTTTCTTTTTGCTTCTTATTGTTTAGTCCAATGGGTTATCGGGTGGTTTACTTTTGAACTTTTCTTTTGATGTTTGTAAGACTATGGTGTTCTTTTTTCTTGGGAATACCTATGCATCGATACAGATAAGCGTTATGGTTAATGTTTCGTGAAACGCAATTTGAAAGGAGTTTTGAAGATCGTAGAGTGAAAAGTTGGGCTCCCGCTTCCATAGTGTACAGAAAAAGAGAGACATGAACAATTTGTACAATGACTGTAGCTAACAACTTGAAAATTCGTGCAATTATGGTGTATCGTCAATGATGCTAGCCTATGCTTATTAAGCTTTATTCACTCGTAACATTTCTATAAAATAGACTTTCTAATGAGTTTGTTAACAAAAACCTGTAGTTTCTCTAAAGTCACGCTGAGCATTGACTTTTGAGATTCGAGTTTAAACTGTACATACGTAGTGTTCTCAACAAAACTAGTTCATTCTGAAAATATCAAATTTTTTCGTTGTTTCCATAGTGAGATGCGAATAGAAGCACGAAAATTGCTCTTTCATACGACAAATTTGTGAATCTGCGTATCTCATGACAAGAGCAATGAAACAACGAAAAACTTTTAAAATAAACCTATCATACTAAAAACATTATTTGTGAAAAATTTCAAGCCGACACTCTAAAGTAAACTTTCAAACTGACTTAATGGAGACTATAGTATTTCGTTAAAAAAGTCAATAGAAATTCGATATCGTCAAAACGTAGATCTGGAATACCAAATCATTCTACGCTTTTTCTACGCACATTAGCAGTTATCGAAAGATGACGGTTTCGACTCAGAAATAATTGTGTGTGTGGAAAGGTTCTCGCTTGAATTATAAACGTTTCCTTATAAGAATTCTAAAGTTAGAAGCTATATCTATGGATTACCTTTAGAATCGAATAATCGATGTTGAAATGTAAAAATGTATGTATTTGAGCTTGAATTGTTCAATGGACTTTTAATAAATCAGAAAGATAATTGATTATAATACAAGTAAATCGGGATGGGTCTACATCGCACATGACATTTTATAGACACCATATCTCAATAAGGGTTCAAGTGCGCATCTTTGTGCTAACATCTGGGGTGAATGATGACATTCTCTACCCGATAGTAAATTCAATATTCAAATAAAAGTCCTGAAAAAAAGAATTATAGTATACGTTAGTCGTTATTTTTTTAACTATTTTTCCTATTAGATTTTTCTTCATATTCCAATGGGAAGGAGTTTCAGGAAAAGATAAATGCCTGTAATATATGGTAAACGCATAGCGCTAAATAAATGCATAATATCTAATGAACTTAATTAAATCTTCAATTGGATATATACAATTTACTTGCTAGATGCTATCATTGGTATTCAACTATTTAACGTACTTTGTGATAGCTCCTACGAAATGGTTAGGTGCTTTCAATTCAGACTTGGGTGTAGGTGAACAAAATACTAAAACCCACAGTCCAAGGTAGTTAGATTATATCAATCCCTAAGAACTTCAATCTGTCAGACACGTTTTCTTCTAGAAGAGTTTGTACAAAGGAAAGTAATTGCTTCAATAGATAGAAAAGTAACAAAACAAATGGTCACTGATTCATGTTGTTTTTCAAAGCAGTACGCAAGGCATTATCGATCGTCTACCATGAAACTGTAGCCTTCAGAGTTCTGACAAGTTCTCGATATTGGCCGACGCATCATTTGCGTTTAGTAAAGTGTTTGCTTCGGAAACTTTTAAGTAATAATTGCCAACTATCACGGCAGACTTCTCGAAAACTTTATATCGATTCAGAAAATTATTGCGAAGTTATTTACCATCGAATGGTACTATATGTTTTTTTACATAAGCATTGGTTCATCAAAAATATTCTACATCGTCAATAAGTTGATGAAATTCAATGAACTTTATATCTGAAGTAGCTATGACATATGGCTACTAAATGAGGTTTTGGCTGACTCAAAATTGTTTCCTGTTTATGACTGACGCGATTCCTAATGATCACAGATACCACTTAGGATAACTTCGCTCTAGCTTGAGCGATTTCAACGCTGAAGTTACGGATAACCTTCATTAATTGTGAACTTCCTATATAAGAATTTCGAGACTCTTACCTATGATAGGAACTAAGATCTGAGGGGGTATACTATGAGCCAGGAGAATAGTTGATATAAATTCAATCTTTTCCGTTTGTCAATGTTTATATGAAAGCCCTGTATGAATTATAAACAATAATTGACACAAATATTAATCGCTTTCTTTTTGTCATAGCTATGTGAAAGTCAAATCTGCATTGAAGATAATAACTGACATGAAATTTAATCTTTCTTTTTATCATGATTATGTAAAAGTCAAATCTTCACCAAAGATTATAATTGACGTAAAATTTAATCTTTTCCTTTCTTGTCATGATTATGTGAGAGCCAAATCTGCACTAAAGATTATAACTGACATAGAATTGAATATGTTTCTGTGAGCGTGATTAAATAAAAATCTTATTTGAATTATAAATCAGAATTTAGACAAAATTTTATATTTTGCCTTTTGCTGTTCAGTACTGGTGTGACGTCAATACTTTTATTTATTTTCCAGCTTGGATTATATAGCTATTTGACGCTTGTACTTCCCCATGTTCAAGACGAGAAATACTCTGGAATATGATGAATCGAACGCTTCTTTTTTATTCGAAATAATTGCAAAGAAAAATTTGATTTGTTTCTTGCAAAAAAACTGAAATCAACACCTTATTGAGTCAACGAAAAGTTAGTCAGAATACTTCTGGTTCGAAAATTTATCACTGATTTTTCTATCTGGTGCATCAGCTAATTCTGTTATTTGTATCAGATATATCTTATAGGTCCAGGTATAGATAGAATCGGTCTAGTTTTTTGCCAACTGGTACACCGGTTCAACTGACCTACCAATAAATGCTGATCTATTGGTTATATATAGATTTTTACAATGCAACCTTGTTTCACAGTGAATCTTGCAGATAACCAACTTTTATCTTGAATCTAGAATTTTTGAGGGATTGTGCGTTAATATTGAATATATGGTTTTTATCATTAAATATAACAACAATGGACATATTAATACATTATATCAGATTTCGTAGTACGATCAGAGTGCACTTTTTTTTGATATTTTAGCCTAAACGAAGCATAGAATTTCGTTATTTATAATAACGATTTCATTTAGAAAGTGTTCTAAAACATTTTTTAAACTAATTTTTGCTTAAGTAATGGAATTAGTATTGGGTACATAGATCTTTATTATGTATATGGGTTTTCTGTAGATTGATGATGGACAAATTTCTCTAGCATCGTACCAGTTTCTACTTCATACATTCGCTATAATCAAAAAGTTCTCCCCATTTTCATGATTCTAGTGAACAAGATGCTTTAAATAATTTTTTCGATATTGCCACTTAAGTATATAATCTATATAGACATAAATCATTTTGTGAAAGCTGCAAAAACATTCGAAAGATCAAATAATATGATCGTAGTTATGGTTTTATTAATAACGAACACTTCCTCTTTTTTTAGTTTTGATATCGTCTCTTTTTTTGAACCTGTTCAAGGAATTCATTCGTTTTTTTATTCAATATTTTCCTGTGGCCTAACTCGTACATTTTTTCAGCAGTATGAACTGCTTAACTAGTTGAGCAATGTTATATATTTTTACCACGAACATGTTACAGAATCTTTACGATAGAAAAACATGAAATCAATATATGATCATCATTCTTGATCTTCTTCATGACAACATAAGTACTGCATACTCAGGATTCTGCTATCATCCTATGCAAATCAGTACCTCCATGTTGTAACCCATTAGTGAACTAAAATAAAGTGAAAATACAAATTATTTCTTTTTGAAACTAAAATTTTCATGAAATGACTGATGTTTTGGTCATAATTACCTTGTTAAAGTCAATCTCATTAACGACTATCTATAATATATTACCTTATTGCAGCATCGTAGTGTACGCATCCTTATAGTGACTTGCCGACTTGTATCACTCAATGGATTGAAGATCATGTTAAGTCATTTATTCTTCGTATTGGACTTGGTGATACAATTCTTTCTCTTTTCAAACGCGTTGATGGTCATCGTCTTGTGCAACTCTATGAAATATGCCTGATAAATCGTGAATCGATGTATCAATCATTGAAATTCGAACTGAACGAAAAATACCACACATTACTGCCGATCACCGACTATCTCACTTTTCTTGACGAGATCAAAGTATATGTTCAATCAACTTCAACAAATATAAAAACTGTATAATCTTCTTTTTTTTATTTACAATGTGCAACTTTATGTAGAAATATCCGGCTGCTTGATATCTGAAAATATATGATTAACACTGGCAAATGTGTTTTGATTTTCATCTAATTATGTGATGGTGGATAAGTAGGTGTGTTCGTAAAGATGGATGAATGGAACTGAGCTTCTTCCCTTTAACCATACACCCACAGTGAAGCAGCCATTCATGTACTCCAAATGCAAATGTATAGGTCTTTGCGTAAAAAAAACAAGAGATATTTTTTGCAGCAGGCAAGGTGAAACTCATTCTGTCAGATTCTAGGGTGTGGGCATGAGTATTCTTTTCATCCACGTGCACACTTACCCACTGTTTGGATTTTGATTTATGCTCGAGCATGAGAAGCTACGCTCGAAAGGGTACATGTTTATAAAATAACTTACAGAATGGATATAAAAATTGTAAACTAAATGGCCTACTTATTATTCATAGTATGATTGTGTTCTTCTGTCAAAATAAAACAAATTTAGTATTATTATTTTTATCTATTGAAGCATGCTATTCGAAAATTTTGAGATTACAATAATACATAATTAGTATTGGTCTTTTTTCTTGATCTATATAGAAGCTGTTATGCAGTTGGTGATTTACGTATTAAATATAAACTAGAATACGTTTGAATTTGAAAAATGATATTGTTTAACTTCATCAAATATTTCGTTTTTTTATTTGTTCTAATGAAATTATCAAGCTGTTTAATTACAGATTATATGTAAAAGTTTTTAATCCTATTTTTATATTGATCACAAGCGACATTATTTTTAACATGAAATCCAAAATACATTTTAGAGGAAAATGTGAATAAAACATGGCAAGTCATTGACATAATTGGACACAAGGATACCTGTAGAATTTTATAGGTGTTTTTTTTTTCATTTCATTTATCTAAAACTCGTATCACCTGACTTAATTCATTGGTTGGAAGAATCTGTTTAAGTTCTGATTAAACAACTAGTCTTCTCAATGATAACGAAATAATGAAAATGAATATTCTATTCTGGTTAAAATATATTGCAACATTTGTATGCATATTATTATTAGCAATATATACATACATCAAATCACATCTTTTTGGTAACAAAAAACGTACACCACCATTACATAATCGAAATAGTAAGATTGCCATAGTTGGAGGTGGAATTGGTGGTGTTGGTGCTGCATATGCCCTGCTTCGTAGCGGATATACAAATGTGACGATATATGAAGCACGTGATAAACTTGGTGGTAATGCTAAAACACATGTTTGGCAAACTAATAATAAGAGTATTACAACTGGACTTTCCGTATTAGCATGGCCAGAAATATTTCGTAATTATATTCATTTATTAAATGAATTAAATATTAAAACGGCTATAGTTGAATTACCATTTTTTATTCATAATAAAGAAGAAAATACTATTTTTGCTCATGGAAAACAACATATCAATGCTCAACAATATAATAATGATTTAAAACGTTGGATTCGTATGGTTAATACTGTAAAATATGTGTCTACATTTTTTAATGGTAGAGAAATATCCTTGTATCATTTTTCACTTTTAAATCCTTTTAATTATATTTCAATGAAACTTTTAAGTTTCTTATTTGGAATATCAAATCGTTTTTGGAATAATGTTGTTGTACCTATGTATGCATCAACATTTTTATCAACAAAATTATCATTTATTCCATCCTCTATTCTTCCCATCGTTGATAGTTTAATATCCCTAGAACCAAATCGTATACCAACCATGCAAACATGGTTACAAACATCAACAGATGTTTTTGATAAAATGACAAAAGGTGCTATTATTAAAACAAATTCGCAAGTTAAATGTGTTCATATTAAACGAAATAAACATAATCAAATTATGATTTCTATTAATGATGATAATATAATATATGATCGAATTATTTTTGCATGTGATAGTCATGCAACAATTAATGCATTAAATAATGGTAGTACAAAAGTTTCATTATTATTGAAAATAATGTTATCTAATGTAACATATAGTGATGATGAAGATTTAAATCTATTAGATGGAATTATTCATCGGGATATAAATATTTTACCAATGAAATATGCTGATGAATTACGTAAGAATTATGCTAATTATATTGATGTAAAATATGATAAAAAGAATAAAACATTTTATCATTATAATACATTTATTCTAAGTTCTTGGTTACCTAATGTAAAAGCTATGTTAGAAGACAATCAATTAGAACATAACAAAATGGAACCAATGCTAGTTACTTATGCACCCTATGATCAATCAGCTCCAAAACTTGATGAAAAGAAAATTTATGGAAAAGTAGATAATCGACGTGCACATCCGAGTCTATCGTTGCGTAATCAAACTATTTCTTTATTAACACGATTAGTACAAGGAGAAAATGGAATGTATTTTTGTGCAAATTCTGTAACACCAGCGAATGGACATGATCTTTCATTGATATCAGGATTTGCAGTTGCTCAATTAATCGGTGCTGAATATCCATTTTCTGATGATTTAGATGCATTACGAGATTTTAATCGATTCAAAAGAATGTGTATTAATTAATTTTTGACTAGATTTAAACCAAAAATGGATAATTAGAAGAATTATAAGATACGAAAAAATTAGTATTTATTTAAAATAAAACATAAAATTAGATTTTTGTAATTGAAACGATTGACTTAACATTGTCAATAGGCGTCTCAATTGATGCTTAGACTAGTGGCGGCGATAACTGATAGTTTTCGGAGATCTATTTTTGAAATACGAAATAAAGAGAACATACGGATAAAACACATCGATAAAGCTATCTCAAAAAAATTTTTCTGCTAATCGCAAAATTTTAAAAGCTCTAGCATCTATTTTTGTGACATGGCTCACCTGATCGGCTTTCACATCTAGTTATTCATTATATTTTTGTTAGTTGACAATTGTAAAAATTCATGGTGAAAGTTATAGATAAGTTCCATAATGAAAGAACTTTCCTATCTAATGAATCGTTTTCAGACAAATAGAATTGCTTCTGCAAGTTAGCCTATGTCGCTAGTGCTGTAATAAATATTGAATATTCACTTTGAACATGAGTTTACATTCGTACTTTATCTGACTTTTGTTTATTATTATTATTATCTTATAACATCTGAAAATGTGTTGGTCGATTTTTTTTCCATACAAATAAATACAAAATGTGACATTGAAAAAAACGGACATGATTTTCTTTGTCCACTTGTCGATGATAACTGTTCAAGAGAATGTGAATACATATATCGATTAAAGATGCTTATCGATATCAATAACATGCTGCTAAACCCATAAAATCGTATTACATAGTGTCGACACTCCAAAAGAAAATATGAAGACAAATTAATTTTTGATTCGAGTATAGTTGTGCGTAAGCAGTTAGTATTTTCCACAGCCCCTTCAATCTCACACCTACAAGTCGAGTCAAGTCTTATAAAAACTCAATTTCAAATAATTTTTTTCAAATGTTCTGTTATTCATGATAAGATCTATACAGACAAACAGAAAAGTAAATTGTTTGAATTCTTTCAAGTGAACTCGAGAAGAATGCGTCAATGCAAGACATGAATCAATCGCTGTCAAGCGTCTACTACAACACATAGCAATTGAAAGCTTTTGTGTTTGAGCTTTTGGTTTGGTTAGGTATGCAGGCGTATGTAAAAGTTCAACTCTTGATTGTGATTGAATGCCCAATCTCACTAGCTTTTATTTCAACCTATTACCGTAAAAAGGAAAGTATGTATGAGACAATCAATTGACTTCTCGGCTTTTGGTAATTTTGATTTCGAATTCTGCATGTATTTTAACACAGCTCGCTAAACAACGATTTTTTTTCTTCAACATAAAACCTTAAAACAATAGTATACGTTGATTTTGTCACAATTTTACTCAATTTTTTTCCATCTGCAGTGAAATATGCTCTTGAACTACAGAATGAAAATAAATTAGATTTTTTTTAAAGCATAACCATGACAACCATGAAATGAAAGGAAAACGATCACAATTTCAAATTTTGAGAAGAAACAAACATAAAACACATCGTTATTAAGAATAAAGGGTTTTGAGACTTCTCTTCAAAGAGCAACAGTTAAATTGTTTATATTTGAGAAGCCTGTGAAAAAATTTGAATAACATCAAGAAAGATCAAAAAAGGACAAAATCATTACAAAACATATCTGATTGTCCGGAAAGCCCTTTGAACTCGTACTGTATGGAACTGTATGTTAACAAGTATTGCATTGATTCACTATTTCTTATTGCACAAGTAGTTTGTGTGATCGTTGGCAACATATGGGTGCTAGTGAAGTTTGTTACATTGAATAAATGTAGCACTTATTAGTGTACAGTTTCATAGAACATGAGTTGCACAGACTTTCTGGACAATCAAATATTTTGAATCTTTCTTTTAATTTCATGTACTATTGATTTCTTTTTTTTAATTATGCTGAATTCTATTCGTGACATCCATACATTTTTTTGTGATTTTTGTATAAATTATTGATTGCTTTTTCTTTGATAGCGTATCGAAAAATGGGTCTTTTTGAACTAAGCTACACAAGTCAACTGTGCTCTAAACGATGAGCAAGTTTAAATTCGATGTCAATGACGTTATGTATAAGATGTTAAATATGTAATAGAACTACCCTTCACACATAGCTGTGATAGGAAGCCATAACAATACTTAAAGAAATAAAACAAGAAATACAAGCTAGATAATTCGATGCATATAGTGAAAAATAGAAAAGTAGATGATAAATATCTTCAATTAGCTGTTGATGATTGTTAGATAGTACTATCTTGAATTGATGAAAGACTATTGTTCAATGTAATATCAACAATCGTAGTATCCATAAGTGATGTTTGATTCCCATTGTCATCAGTTGTTTCAGAAGCTATACCAGCATCTTGATAAACGGTCTGGGTTATCGCTGGACTCACTTTGATTTCCGAATGTACTTCGAGAAATTCATTAAGTGTCTCGACAACTGCTCGATTATATTCACTATTCTAGATAGAAAGGAAAACGAAAAATAAACTAAAATATAACACTGTTTATATTTAATTCATGTTTACAGCTTCAACCGATAGTGGAATGCATTCCATCATACAACCATAAGCCATTGGTGTCAATTTCATTACTGTATGCAATGGTATTTTCAGATAAGGTAGACGTTCTATATTAAAATAGATCAAGTTTCATGTCATGATGTCAGATAAAACAGAATGATTTTTACATACCAGGATCTGTGTCGAGAAAATAAGCAAGAATACAACGAATTACAGCTTGATGGGTGATAACAAGTACATTTGCTGCTCTTTCCAATTCCATGATCACTGGTTCGAGTCGAGCAAGAAGATCGTGATACGACTATGTCAAAAGCAAGCTGTAAACCCTTCAAACATCTATTCTGATTCGAAAGCTTTTCAATATAAGTCAAAATTCAAATCGCTATTATCTACATGTAGATGCTTACTATATTTTGTAGCAACTAAAAGTTAGCTGATTCATTCTAAGTCTTCTCTGAGGACTAATTCTAATTTCTACAAATTAACTAAAATGACTAATCATCAAAACAAATAATTGTGCACTCTAGTTTGCGTCGATAATGTTCGATGGGATTTTTCTATTTGCAACTGAGAATGAAATTTAGAGATAAGAAATACAAAACATGTTCCAGTTAGTTTAGAGGATAGGTAGAGATGATATTTTTTGATAATTAATTATCAAGCTACAAAATCAAATTTATCCCTAGATTAGAATCAAGTCTTCTGAATGTCTATGAAACTAAAAACAAATAACTACTTACTTCTCCTCCTGGATAACGATAGTAGTACTTTGATTGGTTACGAGCAGCAAACTGTTCAGGATAACTTTCAGCTACTTCTCGATAAGTCAAACCTTCGAAAATACCCTAGACACATACGAATAATTCGTTTATCATGATTCGTATGAGCTAAACCTTCTTACAGCATTAATACCATTGAGTGCTTTCCATTGCTCCTTAGGAACGTTGAGTTTTTCTGCTGTCTGGATCGCTTGTTGCATTTGGCTTGTCCAAACAATCAAATCCTTGATGTTTTCTATAATATTTATAAGAACATCAGTACAAAACGAATATTCTCGAAAGTCTTACCGTTCGCGATGTATTGGGCAAGAACTTCGGTATACTATAATAAAAAAAAATATATATAATTAATGGTGAATATCGAACAACAATGGCAATTAGTACTGCTTTGCCAGCTGGTGATAATTGAGAATTGCCTCCAATACGTTGTTGAACATTCATTTCTGATTCGCCGTGCTGAAATTTACTGAAATCAGTCAGTTTTCATCAATTGAGAAAACTTATTAACTGACCATAGTCAGATAGATAGTTCTCGGAAGAATATGAATATTTATGAGAAAATAAACGATACGACTTTGAATATTGCCTAGAATGAACATGATAAAAATGCAATGTCAGTTTCATAACATGCTATACTTACCAACGATCTTATTAACTAGAAATCGTTCACCACAATTATAAATTTTGATAAATGAATAATGCTTTTCTTCGACCTCATCATCAATTGGTTCGTACTGTTTCTTATAGAGTTCAATACGTGAAAGGAAATCGTTGAAGGCTTCTGCCTCTGATACATCTTTGTAATCAGGACAATTGAGTTTCACTTCCTGTTATTTTCAAACAATTCTTATGAACTAGAAAGAAGTTCACTTCACTTTCATACTCGAATATTTGCTTGAATGACTTTCAGCGAATCACAAATTGATTCCACGAAAAATACACGAAAACAGTATGTTTCTGTACAATAATTGTATATTATACGGCGTCGCTCACGGGTCGTATTGGTTGCATCAAATATGGCTACTTCACCTTCGTTCTGAAGGAAGTTGCACATATCTTTCAATGCATTCTGGGCGCAGAGTCTATAAGAACAAATTGAATTGACATGTCTTAAAATAAGCTTGTATCAAACATGATCAAATACGCACTTTCGAATTGCTACTGCTTCAGCATTGTTTGGATCAAAAAATTCTTTGCCTGTGTACATCTTTACAGCGTCACGACGATAATTACCAACATTGAATACTATGCACACACAAACAAAATTTCGATCGCATATGAATGTTTTCTTCCAAAGGAATTCACTCGAAATAGTTAAAAATAATGTCTAAGATGTCAATTATTCTGAGCTATCAGGGTATTATATATATTTTTTAACTAAATTCTGAAGTATCCAACGTAGTAAAGCCATTTTCAAAACGCGTAATTTAAATTGACAGACAAGTCTCTCTGTTCCATGCATCGAGGAGAAAGAAATATAATCATTTTCAAATGAAAACTTCTCAGCAATGGTTTAAAAATTCATAGGATTTTATGAAATTTCTGGAAGTATTGTCTTATGACAGTCATTCGAAATGCATAAGAGAGCATGTGCTTTCAAAAAACCTTTATATGAGAAATTCGTTTCATGACAAACGACATAGAGAAAAGATTCACTTATCAAAAGAATCAATCACAAGTGACTCGTGCTTTTCTTCTGCTCATTTATTATTAGAGGTAGTTTTCGAGAAGAAGTTTAAAACAAACCTCTCGTTTTGATTCCGATCCAATGTAAATATCGAGCTAATTTTCGAGCCATGTACGTCTAAAATATAGCAGGATTCATGTGTTCTATTTCTAATAAGCATCAGATTAATCTCACTTTGCCACGTGCTGGTAGACCAACCATCACCTTGAACATAACATTTTTCAAACAAAGGGTAAACAAAATAAAAGCTTTCACTTACGATGACCGTTGGTGTTCGTACGAGCCGATCGCGACATGCTAAAATTGAAAAGTGAAACCGAAAAGTCAGAGTGACTCGATCGAAGTAGAATCGGAAAGCTGCTCTGCCTATGTATGTAAGTCTGTATATTTTTAACAAAATGAAATGATTTGTACCGATCGCTTTAATTCTGCTAATAAAATGCACCTGTCAATTTACATATGGGTAATACGTATTGTTGACTCAAACGATAGATAGCAGAACAGAAACAAAGCGGTTCTATCAATCTAGAGAAATGTATTCTCATCTGCTTACCTTGAGACAGTTGTCGGAACGAGTTAGGATTGCTTTTATCTGCAATTGAGTCATTTTTTCGCCATGCATGTATGTCGTGATCGAGTGTCTCTTGCTGATTCATTATAGTGGCATTTTGTTTCATATCAGCGACATGGTCATTTTTTCCATGTTCTTGTTCTTTAAGATCAAGTTGATTTGTTATTCTTTCTAGATCGTACATTTCTAGTTGATTTGAACTATTTTCTAAAAGTCAGCATAAAATGTTGATTCTAGTAATGAAAAATTGTTTTTCACAACTACCAATCACTCGAGGTGATTCACTATGACTTAATCAATTTAATAATCTATTAAGAGTGTTATGAATCACAGAAAGTCCTGAGCATCATATAATATAATGGAAAACATATTCAGTACGAGCTTTCTTTCGCAGAAATGTGCGCTTTTGTACATGAAAGAAACTTCGATTTTTGTTATGATTGTTATTAATGTGCCATGTGTGGAAAGTGGATATTTATCAAGAGAGAAAAAACTCGACAGTTCATTACTGGTGAATACGCCTCGGCCGACTGCAACATCTATTCATCTATGTTACTTCTCTCGTCTTAAAGAACCCACTGGTGCGTAAAGCTTATCTTTACTACCAGGAATCAGTACTTATGACTAGAGCTAAAATCAACATAACCTGTCTGTTTCACGTCCAACTATGATAATGCGAACGCTTGTATCCTCCCTTTTATTGTCGCACAATGTCTGTTTTGCCTTTTTTTTTTATCCACTGTACTACATTTGCAAATCATTGTGTTACAAACGACGATACACAAGGATATGAGTGTGGTCGATCTGCTTTATTTGTAAAAGATTTTATTTTCAATGAATGTATTTCCAGAAGAGTGCAAACTGTTAGAGCATGATTGTTTAGCGTACTTGGAAATATCGATGAAGGATGTGCAAAAGGGGAAAACTGTCACTGTGAATATGCATTCGGTGACATGCTGCACAATCCGTACAGATTTTTCTAGAAACGTTCATAGGAATTCTCAAACGAGTTTTCACTGTTTTAAAAATATGATTTTCGAAAAGTATAGAAAATTAATTTTCAATTCAGTGGTTCAAAAATCGACCAAAAATTTACACGGACATTTCTAGAAAATCAAATTTTATATCACGATTTGAATATTCGCCAGCGAAAAGAAAATCTACTATCGCTCTTTATTTTGAAAAGAAATATCTACTTGAAGTTATCAGCTCACCGATCTAGAATTGTAAACTATTTATAGATCAGAATAAGCAGTATCAATGAAAAAATGACAAATGGAAAGTAAACTCTTTTGTTGGAAAATCGAAGACAATAAATAAATATTGAGTAAAATCTTTCACAATTTAAATAAAAGAGAAAAAATGATTTAAATATTACATAAGAGCTCGTGTAAAAACCACCAAAAATAAATCATCATAAACTTTAACTTTATAGTCATAAAATTTTTTATTTCGAATAATCTTTTCATGAGTAAGAAAGATTGGAATATTGTGTCCGTCTATACTAAATGGACTGAATCACGCGTCTACTAATCAATACATAGTTCATCTACTTTCTAAAGCTGCCGGAGAAAATTAGGGCTCCAGGTGGAATGGGATTATTCTCAAATATTCCGTTCTATCGAGAGATAGGATGGGACACAAAATTTTCTATCTCATCCCATCCATCCCATGGGACTTCATATTCGATACATATTTTTAAAAAACTTTCTGAACAGATTGTTTTTATTAATAATGGGTGGATCGAGAATCTTCGGATGCAATGTTACTTCATCTTTCAACCAATTAAGAGGACAAGCAGAAATTTTAAAACCTTGAGTTAGCATCAGAATTATGTATTCTTTCCAAATCTAAGTTCAAAATATTTGTGTGAATCATAGGTTAACCGTAATGAGTTAGTATTTGAAATGTTTGGAAATAAAATTTGAATGTGTTTTAGTGTAGTAAAATCGTCTAGGATGCAACTAAAATTCTTTATCAACAACGAGAGCTTTAGTAAGAGTTACAGTAACAGTTTGCAACTTCTTGATTACCAGAATTACAAAATGAACTCGCTCATTTTTGAAGAATTGCAACAAGATCCTCAGTTGTTAGCGCACGTTTTAGAGCATAGTGTTATCCTTTATGCCGTCAAAGAATTGCTAGTAAAGCGTATGCTATCGGGAGCATAATTGCTGAGAATGACATCTACTATTTAAGTCTTGATCCAAAACCTATCAAAACTTGATGCAGTCAAACAAAAGATATTCGAACTAAGTGCAATGGGCGTGTTTACGACCGAAATACTAAAGTACAAAAAAATTGCTTAAAATTGTCATAGAACTAATTTCAAAGGGAGTACGGTCATATTCTTCATCTTTAGATCTGTTAGTGCAACTTTCGGAAAGAGCACAAAATTCTGATTCATTTCGCTGGATCCTTAATCAGTCAAAATATGAAGGCACATTTTGTCTCCAAATTTTCGGCTCTATCACTACTACTTAATATTACATCATTTCATTTTGTATTTCATAATTTTATCACAATTAAGTTCACATATCGGAGAGAAAGACATTTATTTCGAAAGAAAATGTATTATCTTCATCCAACAAAGATTGTTGTAAAAAACATTTGTTCCATGAAATCTTATGAAATCTTTGTTGCATCCCATGGATTGTAAAATAGCAATTGAATTGACTTAACAGAAAATCAAAGATTTTCTTAAAACTGAAAATTTGTTTAACGATAAATGAACGCTTGAAAATATGTGACATTTTATTAACTCAACTTCTTATGCAATAGAATATAATTAAATTTACATTTCACAATGAACTCAGACCTATGTCACCGTACGGATCGTGACATACGGTATGGGCACACTGACCATAGATATCGACTCAGAACATTAGTAGTATATTGGATTCATTGTCTCAAAAAATCATATCTATACTATTATGTTGAAAAATAATCGTCATGGTTGTATACATTGTAAAATAAAAAATAAATTAACGAGAGTAGAAAAGTATATTCTACAATTACCCATACGAGCTCAATAATAAATTTCTTATTTTCCTGAAAATATGATGTTCAGGAAAGTGCAAAACTTAAGTTTCGATTTTCTAGCTAGAAAGTCGCGATCGTATTCATATGAATATTGAACTTCATTTCACATTCTGAAGATTTTTTGTCAAAAAACTGCATGTCTATCATCATTTTTTATCTTTACAATATATTCTGCCTGCACCTGTATACCGATTTTAATGATAGTCTTGACTATGCTACTATGTCAAAAGCGTATCTACAATTAAGAAAAAATGGAGTACTACTTGAGACACTTTATCTCCCAAATACCAAAACGAAACATCATTATCTTACAAAGATTTTTCTTATAAATTACATATATTGAAAACTTAACGAATTACATAAAATGAAAATTTCGTTATACGAAAAATTTTTATACACCAACTATCAATATTGAACGCAAGGGTAATATATGAGGGACATCATATAGTTCAAAAGCATTAAACAATGAAAAATATCAGAAACAATTGTAAGAAAACAATTATTTGCACTATCTCCCATGACTAATAAAACATAATTTATTGCTTGTTTTGTAATTGCACAACGAACTATAATATGTTAGCTACGCTTTATTTAAATCGTATACTAGCTGCAGCTGCCAAAGAAAAAAGACGAAATGTCGACATCATCAATTGACTTATATATGTATGTAGTTAAACAACAACTCTATTATCATCCTTATTTAATGAATTTCCAACAAGAAATATTTTTTATTGTTCTTATTTGTTCGAAAACAATGTTTTCAAAAAATCAGATTGAAAATCTTCTTGACGGAAAATCAAGCTATTTGTGGAAGTTATAAAATCGTTTAGTGAATAATAATTAGTTTCAAAATGTTTTAACATGTGCTAACTCAATTCTTTTACAAAAGTAGAATTTATTTTCGAGAATTACAGTATAATTATTTTTTTTTGATAGAAAAATCAAGAAACTCAATGACGAACAATGTTTAAAATGATGATTCACAAGCAAAAAATAGCTGAAACCGAAAGAGAATTCTACTACGTACGTGTTCGTGAGTAAATATCTGCCATTGTCTTTTCGGTTGCTTTTTGAGTTGATAAAATTGAGTTTTCAGTCATACTGTCGTTCAGTTGTACAAGTAAGAGAAATATTGGTATATTGTGTTCGTAAAACGTATATATCCTATTAGTGAGAATAAACAGAACACATGGGTAATTTCATAGCCTTGACTAATGTTTTCGCTCTCCCAATCATTTTTTTCGGGGGGGGGGGGGGGGGGGCGGCAAGAATAAAACACCAATTAAAGAATGTTTTTTCTTTCTCTCATTAATGACGAACATATGACACATGATGTATACTGATATTTTATAACCATTCGATGAATAATAATGTAGTTTCTTTGTATCATTGCAGTCTTATGAATTGATATAAAACAGATGATGTTAAAAATTTTTGATCCATCGCAAAATATTCAGATCAAATTTTCTCTATCATTTTAAGAAGCATTTCATAGTTTTAATATGATCATTTTTTCATATGTAGACTATTTCTTGAAGGCGATATCCACATTTGCTCAGTATCTTTAATTCGCTTCGGAAAAAAACGAACCATATACTATTTTTCATGAAACAAACATAAACGACAATCGTATAACGTTGCTATTTCATAGGAAGGCCAAGAAAAAACCTGCTGTGTTCTCCGTCTTAAGATTAATCATATCAAATGTATAATTGATAGTAATAATAATAGTCAGAATGTTACGGATTGTTCCTTCTCATGTTCTCAGATATGTAGGGAGAGGAAGGTTAGCTATGTCCCATAGTTCCGCCCAAGAATAAGCTAAGAGCTATTAATTCCGTTGCAAAATAAAATATGGATGTGGATGTGGATGTGGATGGAATTAATATTTTCACCAACACTCACATTCTGTATAATGCGGTAATACCCTATTTTAACAACATTTAAGTCCAGTTTTCGATCGTAAACGAGATTGTTTTTCTTTTAGTGTTTTCAAAGTCAGTTTATTTATACTTGTTTTACATAAAAATAATTTACAAGTTTTGTTTTTTTTGACTATGTTTCTAATTTAATATTGGGTGCAATAATGAACAGTTGAATGTAAGTGTTTCTTTTAGTATTTCTTTTTTTTTCTTTCGTTTCTTTTTAGACATGTTAAATAGTAAGTAATTGTTTTTATTTGTTTATTTTTTTCCATTTTAGATTGAAACAATTAATCAATGAATGCGAGTAAAATGTCTGTTTTTTTTTGTTATTTTTATACTTTCATGGTGGATGAGGGTTAAAATAGGGATCTCGCTAGAAATGAGTGAATGAGTTATTCTCGCTGAAGATCATTTCATGTAGGTCACAATTTACAACATATTTTCGGGTAGATCTTAAGCTTGGCCAGGAACTACTTTGATGTCCGTGGTGCACAACTAGACATTCACAAATTCATATTCATGCCATGTGTACATGAATGTGTGCTGTACGTGCATAGTCTATACACTGCCACTGCTTCCATACGATAATTCCTGGTCGCGTCAACGAATAGAATAACTATTAGTTTTTTTTCTCGCCATCGTGTTTTATTTCAGAGAGAAAGAGAACCGGAAAAAAACTAATCACTCTTTTGAATCTATTCGATAGAAAATCGTTGAACTCGATCATCATCAACGACATAGAGATTGCCATGTCGATCGAAGGACAATCCAACTGGGCCGCAGAATTGCTTTGCTGCTTGTTCACGGTCATTTCCATCCACAGTGACAGTACCCTGTTCCGCTCCCTTAGGCCAACGCATCACTCGATCCTTCACCGAGTCTATCATATAGACAGTGCCCAACGTCTCGACGAACAGGCCGGCAGAATCCCACACTTGCGTTAAAGCTTCTCTTCCACCTTGGCCCTCAGAGTAGGGTCCTGCGGGAACGACTTTTTCCGTGTTTTCTCGTCCCGTTTCCCGCGGGAATCGGGGGCGGGAATTCCCGTGAGACCTTAGGGACGGGAATGCGGGAACGGGAATTCTGGCGGACACTCCGGGAACGGGAATTGTATTAAAAATTTCTGTTCCCGGCAAACCCTATGTTCGATTTCTGTTTGCATTAAAATCTGTTAATCTTACAGTATTCGATTTCCAATAACTAATTGAAATATAATTGTAAAGAGAACAAATATCAGTCAACAAAACCAGACAGGTTCATTCAAACATAGATTATGAGAATCACGATATTCTTTACCACCATCGTCGTCGTCGGTATCGAAGTTGGGATCATCAAGATTACATATATGTCAAACTTGAAACTTGAATTCAATTGAAATTTCAAGTTTCAAGTTTCAATAGGTTTATGAGCCTTGAATCAGAAATTTAATTTTAATATACGGAATCTTGTATTGTGAGAAACATGATGTCGCTAAAAGCTAGTATCAAGTAGGAGCAGTGTTGATGAATGTGAATAATGAAATTCTCAAAGCATTACGGGAACGGGAATACGGAACGGGAACGAAAATTTTGTTACGGGAACGGGAACACGGGATCGGGAACGAAAATTTTTGTTACGGGAACGCGGGAACAGGAACAAAAATTTTCAATACGGGAACGGGAACCAAAAAAAGTTGTTCCCGCAGGTCTCTACCTCAGAGACAACAATACCTTCTGTTGCACCTTTATTTCATGTCATCACATGATAATTATTAATGTCCGACACATAGACAGCCTGTTGTCGATCGACAAAGACGAAGGTTGGCTCGTTCACAATCTCCCACATATTTACGGAACAACTATGTGAAAATTTGTTACACTTCTACTTTACTTTTCTAAAAGGGATCTAACTTGCTCTTCAATAGAGCAACTACTCTAATCTTGCTAATAGAAGATATTCAGCTACTTTCCATATTGGCGGAGACATTCTAGACTGATGAGGCAGCCAGCATCCAAGGAAGTCGAATACAAAAGACATGACAATACAACAAACACTCACATGTGTGAGTGCAACAGGTGCATCATCATTTTTCACATCTCATTCTTTCTAATTCTTTTTATATTTCATTAATCTTCGCTAAGACTTCTTAATATTTTTAAGAACAAACTGTTATTCTATCATTCGAAAGTCTGTTTTCACTTTTTTTTCACAATGTCAAACATGCTATAATCGAACTGATGCTTTAAGGATCATTATGAGCAAAAGGACATAAAGCAGAAAAAAAGGTAACGAAAATTTTATAGTCAATATAATTATCATTAATAAGTGACACATCAATGTGGCATATTTACTAGAGAGAATCTGGTGCATCTCTTACAAATGAATTTACATGAATGGAGGCATTAAATTCATGACAAGCATAAATGAGTTCTTCGAGATATCGTCCGACGTTTGAGTCCGAATGACCAACAATAAATTATACATATTGAACAAGAAATTCAACTGTAACAAGAAATTGATCAAAGCCTATTCGACCAAACGAGTCGAAGCAGGCTTATGAAGCAAAGACATTGTACAAAATTTGTCATTCGCGTAAATACTGTTTGGTATATAGTTCGTCAGCACCTATTGGCGGCGAATTAGCATAATCTTGAATTGATTTCATTAATAAAACGTCATCAGTCATGACAAAAATCGATGGAAATGTTTGATTTCGTCGTTGTTCTTCATCAACTATACCTTTGATATACAATGAAACATTACGCCATTGTCCATGTCTTATCCAAAACAAATCTTCACGTGCTTTATCATCAAGACGAATAAATACACTGCCTACGATATTTAAGGATTGTTCATTTTGGGTGTGGGTGTGGGTCATATCTTTACACCTACACCTACACCCACCCACACCCACACCCACACCCGCATCCACACACCTCATCCACACCCACGCCCACATCCACACCCACAACCACCCACACGCCACACCCACATCCCACACGCACACCCACGCCCACCCACACCCCACACCCACACCCACCCACACCCACACCACACCCAGCTGTTCGTTCAGCCTTTCTTCAAAACGGCGACATTGGTGCTATTTTTACGATGCGGACCACTAGGAGATCTTTAGAATTACTCATCATTGGAATAGCTATACACTCCCTCTTTTGGAGGTGGAAGGACTAGGAGGTCTTTTGGGGCCTTTAGAATTATTCATCATCTTAATAGCTATACATCCCCTTTTGTGGAACTCACGTATATCTTCGAAGAAAATAATACGTGTAAGTTTCAAGTTCAAGTTTTTGTGGCTCCCTCCTCCCCATTACATTACAGACCTCAGTAACCGCGCACAAAAGACGTCAGATTCTATACAATATTTCAATGCTTTCATAATTATTTGAAAAAAAACTATTTTCCAGTTTACAAATGATGCAGTAGGATGACAAGTTTTGAAGGATATACGTGAGTTCCACATTTAGCTCCAAAGGAGTTGCGCTAATAAGCTTTTTTTGGAGTTGGAGGGATTAGGAAGTCTTTGTGCGTCTTTAGAGTTATTCATCATATCTATAGTTTTAGACTACAAGTTTTTAGGGAATCAATAGCTACGGATACGACGAATAATTCTAAAGACCCCCTAGTTCCCCCACAGTTAACGGTGAGTCACAGTTAGCCTACCCTTGATTCTCTTTCTCTTTCTCTCGCGCTTCTTCTTTCTACGGTATTGTTATTATTATTGTTGTTTCTCCTCCTTTCTCTCATGTTCTTCTTCTTCTCTCTATGGATGTATATATACCTAGTGATTTAAGGATATTTTTGAAGAGATTTAACATATGAAATAAATAAACAAAGTTAAGCTCGCCGAAACGAGCTAACACTCACCTTTAAAAAAGGGGATCTATAGATATTAAGATGATGAATAATTCCGAAGACCTCCAAGGCCCCCATTTATTTTTGAAATCGAGTGTCCTTTTTTTTCAAAATTCAGATTGAAATTAAATACCCCCAAGTATGCTGGGGATTCGTGTTTTCTCTTGAGAATATTAAAAAGAGCAGCAAGCGATACTTTTTATTAGAGGATGTGGGTGCTGATGATGAGAAAACCAAAATGCCCACACCTTTTCACTATGGATTTCTATCTAACAAGTAGTCGATTACATGGAGCACGATGCAAAAGAGCTCAACAGAGTGAAACGAATGTACAAAAGTAAGTCGTGCTTAAACATGAATCAAATATCTACTATCATGAAAAGTTTACTTGGATGGATAACTATGTTATGTTCGAAATGACACTTTCCAAGTACGTGATCTCCTATAAGACAGACTTTTCGATATTTTGTAGAAAAATCTCACAGTTAGATTAAATTTGTTAAACCAGGAACATACGTAAAGCAATATCTCCATAGAAGAATGCTACAAAAAGAAATTTTTTGCACACAGCTTCGTACAAGTACTAAGCATTAAAATGCTCGGCTAAGATATTCCACAAGGCATCATTGTGTGGAACTCAATATCAGTGAATGGGTTTTGTCATGGACAAGCACAAACATCAGGATGTAAAAGTAATCATTAAGAAGATTTACAAACGTGATAAATCTATACAAGATTAAACCAATGTTCTCGTGATCACTTTTAGTTGGTAGCAGTTTGAGTTCTAACAAATGTAACAACAGAAAGCTATTGGAAAACTATAGAGTTCGTTTTCATAGAAATTCAGTAGCGAGATCTATCTTTATGACTGAATTCTTCAAAACATAGATGCTTGTCCCATTCGGTACTGTATCAAGAATATTAATCCGTGTTGAATACCAATAATTGATTGCAACGATATTTTTATTGCTCTGCTTCTAGTAGTTGCTGTTGTCGTTGTAGTGGTAGTGGTGGTGATCGGAATCAAAATTCCTCTCATTGTCAACAAATATCGAACTTCCATGGCCATGACTGCATTGTTGCACATGGGCGTATTACATGTGTATGCCAAAGATGTTTCATTTTCTCTTTGTGACATTGATTTTGATTTTATGATAATACCGTAAGGATTGGGTATGGAACTTTCAGGGACACATTTGCGAACTGAGCTCGAATCATCCTTGCTGATAAACTGACAAAAACCACGAGGGCAAGACACTGGTTTATTTTGATTATCAGCACATTGCAGGTTACTAGAATTCTCAACAGCGTTATACAAACGTGTGACAAGGTTAGCCCAAAGCTCTTCATGGTTGAAGTTTCGTACTAAAACAAAACATTATCTAATTCAGAATTAATTCAATAAAAAAAAGGATTTGATCTCTAATGTTCGCTGAATCAAATTTGCGAGATTTCTATTTTTTTCACACCTCAATAAATGATAAAGATTACAAGTTTATGCGCTGAAGTTTATTGAACTTTAAATGGTTCCAATACTTTCATTCTTTTGCTACATATGAGAGAAAGACTCAGCTATATTACTACAGCATTTATTACACTTATCTACTTCTTATGATAGCATCCTAAGTCAGTATATGTTAATTACCATTTGAATAAATATCGCTGAGAACATCTGCTCTACAGGAATTGCTGTTAAAACACATTACTTGATAGATTCGTTCCACTTTGATGTAAGATAGCCAGATCATCATAGTGCTTGTGATAATCCTCGGTGTGTTCGACAATATCAACATCTCTCGAGGATTGGCTTCAAATCGCACAGAAGCTTTTTTATTTGTATGATGCACATTTAGTGTAAATAAACAACTTGAACTTTCTACATCTACTGGAGTGCATTCCGGTCGAGATGCATCGATAATTTCTGATGAACTCGTATCCAGTGTTTGACTGCAGCGAGGACATTGAAGAGCTAATGCTAGGAAAGTCAGATGGAAGACACTGATATAGAGCAGGAGTAAGAGCTTATCGCACATTTAAATGCTAAGAAGAGTGTGATTGAAGAGTTTTTGACAGAAAGTAGACTTGTGCACTTATTTTTTTTTCTCTAGTGGCAATTTTGCAAATATTCATCAGGCTTATATATGAAAATAATCATTCATCTGCTCATGTGACAGCCGCGTGATGGATTGTGTTTCAATCGGTGTCAACAACAAGTCATAAGAGCAATTACAGGTGACGTGGGCTTTCATATGTTTGACAATATTAGATTTCTGCTCAGAGGAAGTAAAAAATAATTTTGTTTGACTAAAGTTTTCGATTTCTTTCAATCCCCATCTCAAATATCATCCTATATCACGAAAATATACAAGTAACGCTCGTTGCTTCGACTCGCTTAGCCGTCAACTGAACAAGATATCATATTCAATTTTTCACAGACCATGCGGCAATAGAAGTTCACAAAAATTATACGAAAACGCATAGTACTTTTTGAAAATTCTACTAGAAATTTGTATACATTCTAGAACATTCCTCGATAATGCTGTTTACTATAGAGTTCTCTAGGAAAGTAGAAGTTCAGTGGAACCCCTAGGTTAAAATAAATCATATTATATCTGATCTCCAATCGAAATATCATACATAAAACAAGCTCTTTTTCAAAGTAGTGATAAGACTAGACAGGTAATTTGAACATGTCAATATACATTCACATACTTGAATTAAGACAAAGAAAAGCATATACCAAAAAAAACACTTTTTTATTTCATTCATGTCCACTATCGATAAAGCAAATATAAATTCTTTCAGTATGCTTTTATTCCGAGGAACTATTCAGTTATTTTGTCCAATCATAAAAACCGGTTCCCATTCTTGACTTGACATAATATTTTCAACTTTTTGTATTTGATATTCCTTATTCAGACCCATATAACTTCGCCTATTGACTCTTATTCAATGAATCCCAGCACTTCGAAGCAACACCTCTGGAGATAACCCAGTGCAGAAGCTAGGCACTCGTCGGCGCCCCCTCGGGGCGCCACTCGCGACTAGCTGCTACAATCTCTGATCTTCTTCTCCCATGAGATAGTTCTTTTCACTTAAACCCTGTTAAATGCCAGATTGCTCTTACTTAGAATATTACCCAGGTCGAGCATCACGGCGAACAGAAACGGCCGTAAACGGCCGTTTACGGTGGATTTACGACCGTATACGGCCGTACATGATCGCCGTATTCCGCCGTATACTGCCGTACACGATCGGCGTATTTCGCCCACGTTTTCAGTAATCAATTAATCACTTATTAATTCCTCAATTATTATAACGACAACACATAGGCATGTCCGGGCCGACCCTAGGGTTATGATAGATGCTGCATCGATTGATGGGTATATGTGTGCGTCGTTTTCAAGTCCCTCACTTAAAACTAGGGAACTAGGTGTCCCAATAAAACTTCAAGAGGACCTTTCCCTTTTATTATAAGGACAACATATAGGCATCTCCTGGCAGATCATAGGGTTATCGAGGATTCTCTATTGATTGACGGGTATATGTGTGGGTCCATTTCAAGTCCTTCACTCAGAACTTGGAGACTAGGGGTCCCAATGAAACTTCAAAAGGACCTTTCCCTCTTATTATAAGGACAACATATAGGCATGTTCGGGCGGATCATAGGGTTATCGAGGATTCTCTATCGATTAATGGGTATATGCGTGGACCGCTACGTTGCGGAACAGCGAGATGTCAAATGTAAGCGATCTGCTAGGATAGAGAGTGACAAGTACTTACGCAGTGTAGAAGGTGATAGGATAAGAAAGGGTGAATCGATTCTGTGGAGATACTTATATACGAGTGTGGCGCAAAACAAAACGATGAATGCAGAGTGAACTTCTGTTTTCTCATTGGTCCGTTTCGACCAATCAGATTTCAGGAGGTTTTTTTCTGTTATTATAAGGACAACATATAGACATGTTCGGGTGGATCATAGGGTTATTGAGGATTCTCTATCGA